CCTCCCCACCCGCGGCCCTCACTCGGCGCGCAGGGCTCGCTCCGGCCCCGCCTCCCGCGCGCTTAACCCTCTCGCCGCTGGGGACGCGCCGGGGGCGGGGCTGGCGAGCGCGCGCCCGGGACCCCTCAGCCCGGGCGCCCCTTGCTGCGCGCCGGCGCTGCACCCCATCGCGTTCTCGGCGCTGCGGCTCGGCCGCTGCCGGTGCTGACCGAGCAGGCCGCAGGGGACGCGGACGCCTGGCCCTGTCCTGCCCGGACAGGAAGTGGGCCCGGGTTTCCCACTCCTCGGCTCCCGCTCCTTCCTCCGCGGGAAAGGAAGGACCGGGAAGGCCGCGGGTCCGCCGAAGGGAGGGCCGAGCAGCCGGAAACTCCCGGGGTTGCCGGCTGTGCCCCTGGGGCGCTGAGAATAGTCCAGGTTCGCTGGAGCGAGGGAAGCCGCACGCCGGCCTTCTCGCTGTCCGCAGCGCCCTACATGGAGAGGGTAGATGAATAAACGGTTAATCAAGTATTTCTGGAGAGCTTGCAGTGGGGTAGGCATGATTCAGATTGCTGGGATTATGCAGCAAACAAACCAACAAAAAGACTCTGCCCGGGGAGCCTGCGTTCCAAATGGGGGAGTAAATGGATGGGTGCAGTTTTGCTCCCTAACTTTTGAGACTTGCGCTAGTGTGAATTCGTTTTACACTACCGAAGCGGACCTTCAGTACTAATTGACCTGAAGACGTGGAAAAATAAACACCGAAGAAGAAGAAAAAGAACTTCCTCGTTATATTTAATATTAAGTTTCAAAAGTACTCCGGGAAAAGACAAAATGTAGTTTTCATACTTTAATTTATATTGGCAAATAATTGGATTTATCCCCATCGGGAGTAAAAGAGTCAACTAAACACTTTTTAGATGTACAAAAAATACGAAATGAACAAAGAACTATTCTTATTCACGCTTTTATTAGGTCCATAGTTATCTCACTTCTAAGTAAATACAATTTATTTAAAATGATACAATGTACGAAACGTGATTGAGACTTGACTTAAGGAGTTCCTAGATCAATTTTACATCTTAAGTTTCTTGACTCTTCCATATTTAGCATACTGTCTCCGGCCTTTTGTGCCTTTAACTAAGTTAAGAAAATGAGAGCGTGATGCCTATGTTGGACTAAACCTCATTTAACTTCAAGGCTGACCGTCCTTAAAGTTGGACCTTAGTGTTATGAGGAACAGAAAGATCAAGAACAATGCAGCATCTCAATTTTCCAACTGTGAAAAGGTGTTGTCAACCGAACTTAAATGAATCAGGAGGTTTTGGCTAGAAATAAATGATAAAGATTTATTCAAGCGTTTTGGGGTTTGCAAGCCAGAAACAACTGGGCAATATCCAGAGTGTTCCCGAAGAAGAAAGAAAAGCTGAGGGTTCTTACAGTACAAAGTACATTCTTGAGAAGAATCAGTCCTTCATCCTTAGCCTCTGGAAAGGTCTGAGATGGTAATCCTCTAAATGACCGGTGGTCTGGATAGTGGACCTGGATCGAGTGGTCTGGATATGTGAACATTCTTTCCTTAGTCCTTCAAGGGGAATTGGAGGGTTAGCTGAAGGTTTGATGTATAGCCAGGCATTGATGCAGGACTGGAAAGCGCAAAAGTTGAAGCTCCCAGGCTATGAAACAAGAATAGAATCATTTCCTCATACGTCAACCTACTTGGTTTTAGTAATTTAGCAGCTTGATTTAGTGATTCCATTTTATCTCTTTATTTCTTAGTATTCAAATTTTCAAACTGCAGCCATTTCTATTAAGTTGAACCCTATGAAATTGGTTTCTTTATATATCAAAACTGGAATACCAGCATTTCAGATGGTGCAAACTTATAGTTCCCTAGCGTTTCCCCACAAGCATTTATAAAGGATATTGTGGTGGGAATTTCTTGCAAAAGGTGGGATGTAGTCAACTTCTTAGCACTAAGAGTTTAGGCTGAAAGTCCTGGGAGACAGTTAGTTATTACACCTTCACATTTATATGTAAGAAACCTAAAGTAAATAGCTTAACCAGTGCCCATATTGCTGACTGCCAGCCCTGGGCCCTTTCAAATGTAAATGAGCAATTAGACATAGGGTTCTTAGATGCATAGTTTGATATTTCACTACCTTGAAACCCTATGGAGGAAGTATTAGATGCTTACTTCACAGCCACCTCTAAGTAGTTTCAAAACCATCTTCAACCCAAAATGGATCTCTTCCCAACCCATCTCATCCAATTAGTGATGGAGCCTATGAATTCTTACCTCAGAATCTCCCACCAACTCCCACCTCAACCATTTTTCATCTGGCCTACACTCACTACCCATGGATACCCTGCCTCTAATATCTTCCCCTTCAACACGTCATTCCATTAGAAATGCCTATTGAGCACCTACTAAGTGCCAGACACTGTGCTAGTTACTGGAGACAGAAAGATAAGACAACCCATGTGTCACAGTTTTAAAATACCATACGCCCTCAAGTTCTTTGATATTACTTCCTTCAAGAGGTGGCAATCAATCTCCCCTCCCCCTTGAGTGTGGACTGAACATAATGGCTCACTTATAACAAATAGAATATGGCATAAGTGACGGTGGAACTTCCAAGACTAGGTCATAAAAGGTATTTTGGTTTTCTCCTTTTTCTCTTGTCTTGGATCACTTGCTCTGGGAGACGCCAGCTGCCATGTTGTGAGAATACTCAAGCAGCTTTATGGAGAGGTATAAATGCAAGGAACCAGGGCCTCCTGCCACCAGCACTAACCTGCCAGGCTTGTGAGTGAGACATCTTGGAAGCAGATCCGCCAGCCCCAGTCAAGCCTTCAAATGACTGCAGTCCCAGCTGACCTCTTGACTACAACCTTGTGAGAGACCCTGAGCCAGATCCAGCCAGGTAAGCCACTCCCAAATTCCTGACACAACAATTGTGAGATAATAAACGTTTGCTGTTTTAAGTCACTAAATCTTGTCATTTATTATGTAGCAAGAGGTAACTAATAACCCCACTGGAGCTTATGATCTTTTAGAAGAGACAGAGGCATCATTACAATTCATTGTAATGATGGTGACTCAAAGAACAACTTGAAATATATAACCTATGTGTGCAAAGAAAAGGTAACTTAATTCTGTCTGGGCCATAGGAAAGAGGACATTTGGGCTACACCTTTATCTAGAAGGATTTTACTGACAGAGGATGCAGAAACGGGGTAGGGGATGAATTATGAAAAGTTAAGGTAGAGCTGGATTGTAATGGTTTTGAATGTCACGATATAAAGAATTGTAACTTTCAATGGATACATATATGTCATCATATTGTATACTTTAAATATCTTACATTTTATTTGTCAATTATAACTCAAAGCTAAAAAAAATAGAAAAAGAGGAATTGTGACTTTTTTCTGCAAACAATGGAAAGGAATTGGAAGTTTTTAAGCATAACCAAATCTGTCATTAGAGACATGTAAAGAGTTAATTAATTATATTTGGTGACTGCTTTAATATAAGAAATACAGGAGTTGGAGGAGTATAAACTTTGAGCTAGGATGACAAAATGATGATGAGATCATTCAAAAAAAAATAAAATGGACCAAGTGAGAAAGAGTAGGCAAGAGAGGAGAAGAACATGGCCTCAGCTTTGAACAAGCTGGGCTTGAGGAGTCATGTGACATCCAAATCAACACTTCAACAGGTCACTTGCAAACTGTTGGATTGGATTTAGAGAGGAAGAACCAGAATTAAAGGCATTTGTAGTTCATCTGCAATGGGACTGTTGAAGCCATAAGGTTAAGTAAGTGTTCCCGGGAGAGTGGGCTGAAATAAAAAAAAAAACTGAGAGGTCAACATTCTAGGGAACCCCAACACTGAGAAGGGAGGAGGAGGAAAAGGAAAGGGTGGGGTGGAGGAAGCCATGACACACACATTTCACAAGGGCAGGTTAAATCAGACTGGATGAGAATAAGATGAAGCCCCTAGATGCAGGCATCATGGCCTTTGAGAGCCCACTCATAACTGGACATTGAATGGACTTGACAGTGGGTAGAAGATGAGACAAGGAGGAGCAAAAGCAGTCTAATCTTTTAAAAGATTTGGTGAGAAAAAGGAAACTGGATGGGGTTTGGGTGATATAGAGAATTTAAGGAAGAATCTTTGAATTATATTTACTTTTTGAGATTGGAGCATGTTTGGAAATAGAGAAGAAACACTCAGGAGAGAGAAAATTTTAAATACTGAAAATACTAGAAATACGGGAGATCATTGCTGAAACCAAGGCAAAGACAACAGGGTAGCTCCAACAACAGGAGGAAGGAGAGCTCCTGAGAGTCTGGGGCAGGGACCTAGGAATGGGTGAATATATAGTTACGTCTAGAGGTGGAGGAGATAATAACCGGTCAGGTTTACATTGCACTTTATGGTTGCCCTGTGAAGGAGGCAAGACGGTTATTACCAACCCCTTCGTGTAGCTGTTCTGAGACACATGGATGACCAAGGGCCACATAATTAGTAGGTAACTGAATCAAGACTCAGACCAGCAGTTCAGCCCAATGTTCCCTTTGCTGGACCACACTGTACCCTTTCAGGCTCCCTGAAGCGTGGCACTGATCAGGTAGGCACCATCTGTCCCTCTCTGTGTATTTGCTCCACTCACAGGCCCTCGTTCCATGTCCCTTTGCCTAAAAGGTAACCATCCTTCAAGAAAAAGAGCAGGTGCCCCTTCCTTCACAAAGCTGTCTTCAAGGCACTGGAGGTGTGCACACAGCACCTTGCGGATACCTCTTAGGTAGCAGCAGGTTCTCCTGCTATCAGTGTGTTTATCTATGAGCTTTACCCCACTTCGGATGGTGTGACCCTTCAAGACTAGCATCCAGCCATTTGCCCTCATATTCCAACAGCATCAAGTGTCTCACGTGTTCTCATCAAGTGTTGGTCGAATGAATGATTGAATGAGAGATGCTGTGTTGTGGTTGAAATAAATGTGACCTCTAGCCCTAATAGGTGGAAAATGTATTTTTTTCACATTACAAGATGTTCTCCGTTAGTTCATTCCCAGGGATAAGTGATTTGTCGAAGGCTTGAGTCTTATTACCCTCCAACTTTGCCACTCTGTGTTTGCTTTTGTCTCAGGGTCGTCCCTTCTGGTTATAAGTGGCTGCAACAGCTCCAGGCATTCTATCCTTTATACAAGACCCAAAATTCAGACAAGAAGAGAAAGGACATTTGGAAGTGTGAAGAAAACTTTCCCAGAAACCCTGGAATCCCCTCATGCCTCATTGGCCAGAATTGCATCACATGCCATTCCTAAACCCATCATTGGCAAGGTGAGCAGAACTGACATGACTGGATTAACTTCACCAGGAAGGCATCCTCGGAGGCTTCCAGCCTCTTTTGAAGAGCCTGGCTATCCCTTACCTGATGGAACAAATTAAAAATTCTCATGGCACATTTGCTATAAAAATTCTCACAAGTGAATGTATGTAAGTAATATCTACAAGTTTCAAATGTGGCCACTAGAAGCATGCTGTTGGCTTAAATGTGAACGTGTCCTTGTGCATCAACAGCTCCCAGACTCATGTTCAACATACCCTGTGATGAAACCTAATTCGGTTCTGTCCTGCTACAACTCAAACTCCAAATGCGGGGATCTTTATTTTGTTTCTATCAACAGTGCCTAGAACAGCACCTGGAGTATTGTAGGGTTCAATAAATATTTATTAATTGAAAAAAAAAAAACCTGATGGCAAGAAAAAGGGGAAAGTTGGTGTGGAGCAGGCACCCAGGAGCATCTACATCATGATTTTTGTCAGGGCTTTTTACTCTTAATATGTTTGCTTCTTTGCCTCATAGGACACACAACACTTTTTGCCCCAAACAAGCCTTGCTTTCTGGTTCTGTACACTCAGCACATGAGCCTTGCAAATGACACAAAGCTAACAGTCACTGTTGGAGTGTCTGCCTGAAAGCTACCCAGCTTGACAAAGTGGAGTGTTCATGCTCTGGCAGTCCAGCATACTGTCAGGTTCAACAGCATCTTTCACCGAAGGATAAAACTTCACAACTATCAGATCTTCTTGCCCCCAATATCACAGCAGTTTAGCGGAATCAGTGGTGTTCCCAGGGCAGGATGGTGGGAATGGTCAGCTGGGGGAGCAGGCACCACAGGCTTGCACGGTCTGGAAAGAATTTTAAAGCAATGATAAACCTTTAAAGGCAATGTGGTGTCCTGGATAGAACCCTGGAACAGAAAAAGGACAACAGTGGAAGCACAGCTAAAATCCAAATAAAGTCTGTAGTTTGGTTAATAGTATTTTATTAATGGTATTTTCTGTGTTTTGATAAATGTTCCTGGTTATATGTAAGCTAAGTGAAAGGTAAATGGGGGCTTTGTATACTATTTTTGCAACTCTCCTATAAATCTAAAATTATTTCGTAGTTTAAAACATTTTAAATGATAAACTGACTAAAAATTTGTCTGCTTTTTTACTACCACCTTGACAATTCTAAACAATATTAGTGATAAAAACACTTTCTCCATCCCCAAAATCTTTGGTTCTAGGTTCTAAATATTTGTGGTAGTTATTGTTGAGTCTTTATATATACATATATATATATATATATATATGGTTCAACTTAGCTATTTTTTTATTTTTGCTATTTATTTTTAATAAACATTGCATTCTAATTGCAAGTTTTTCCTAGAAAGTCATATATAGAGTTGCCCTTGATAGTTATGGTCACACAACTATACACACGTTTGTTTTGAGTAAGTTCATATCCAACTGGAATTGTCCGACCTTATTCCCAGCACAGCCATGCCTCCAGCCCCAAGGTACTCCAGAATCTTGCATTTGAAACTCAAATTTGACACAGTGATAGCACAGTGATTTTAAAGATGAAGAAGCAGAACTTAATTTACTTCTGTCACTCTATGTGACCACTTGCCTCTTCTATTGTATTTAAAATTTAAAGCAGTGAAACAGAGTGCAAAATGCCATGCAATGTGTCATGACGATTTGGGGATTCTTTTTTTTTCATGTAGAGGAGCAGGGTGTTAAAAATGATTGGCTCCATGTATTAAATATATGCTGAGTGTAATTAAGATTCCAGGTATCAGAAACTACCTTAAAGATCATACATCCTCTCCCCTCATTTTAGAGACAAAGAAAGGAAGGCCCAGAAACTTGCTGTAGTCAATACGGATTTGGTGAGTTAGGATGAGGACAGGGCCCTTTCCCTCCCGGTCCAGTGCTCCCAGCACTGCCTCTGCATCCCATGCTGCTGTTCTTTGGCAGACAGACAATAACTCAGAAAAACCAAGTCCCTCGTCTAATGTCAGCTGGTGACTCGGTGGCAGAGTAAGACATGGGAACCAGGACTCCTGACAGCTCAGGGCTCTAACCACTGCTCCGTTTCCTCTTTCCTGCTCTCATTCAGCCAGAGACAGATACATTCCAGGTGACTAATGAATGTGCCACCTGACGTTCAAGTGGGAAGAGGGGGGCATTTTTAAAAAGAGACACGGCTCAGATTGACATTAGAAATGAGTACATTTCAGTCAGAATTCCCACAATCAAAAAAAAAAAAGACACTGAAATACAACATTTGGGGAGCAAGGAAACAATTTCAGACATTGATGTTCACTGCGTTCTCCAATGTGGGGGGCATCTTATGATAGACAGTATATTGGGAACGTAAACTGCCCACACAAATGTTTATCTTTAGTTTTTCTATGTTCAAGGAGAAAGCAATAATTATCAGAATGGCCCCTTGTGGTGCAGTGGGCTATCACATCGAAGAAAATTTCGATAGCAAGAACTCTCTGGAAAGAAGGCTTTCATGAAGGGCTGTGCCTGCCTTCCCAGGGCAGCTATCTCCTAGACTGGGTAGAAAGGCAAACACTATCTTGATTAAATTTAAGCACCTCCCTTGTGAACCTTTGTCATGAGTCCTTGAAATTCATCCTTTCACTGTTTCTCAGAACAGCCTAGTGTTCAGGAACTATTCACTTGTGAATTGTCAGGTGGGGTTCTTTCTTTGCATGGCTCCCTACCACAATAATTGGTTAGGGGTTCCTTGCTCCACACGAAACTATAATTGACCTCCTACCACATGCTTGGAAGGTTGATGGATGAACAGATAAATAGGTAGATGGTAAGTAGGTAGAGAGCTGGAATGGGTAGATTGGTGAACAGTTGTATGGGTAGGTAAATAGGTGAGTTGATAGATGTGTGGATCAATAGATGGGTAGATGGGTGAATGGAGGGCTGGAAAGGGGATGGTTGGATGTGTGGAAGAGTGGATAAATGGATAGGTGGATACACAAATGGATCAATATGCAGGAATCCGTACCATCCCATCTTTATATTGGTGCCTAAGGTAATTCCATAGTGAAGGATTCCCAAAAGGTTTCTGCTCCATGCAAGAGATATGTTCACAACAAAAGCTTTATTTAGATTGGGTAGAACTGTGCCTTGGGGTAGATTTTCAGGCCCTGAAAGGCCGGAATCATAGCTTTCCATCTATGTGCCTTAGTAACCAGCTCTTTCCCTGCCATGTAGTAGGTGTTGAGTGAATATTTGTTTATAAAAAATGAATGAATGAATAAATGAATGAATGAATGATTTGAGAAACAGAAGGAAAGTTCCCCCTAACCCTGAAATGTATCCCCGCATTCTGATTTTTTTGTGCTTATATTCCAACATTAAGATTTCATTCCTTCAGAAATCAATTATGTACCCAGAAAGTGTCCAGCGTTGACGCAAAATACTGCTGGGTGTTAAATGCACTAAACCTTTTCCATCTGTTTTCTGTAGCAGAGATTAGCTGGTCACATTGCTGTATGTCTTGATTCTTTGCTGATGAGGTTGGACATGGGGCAGGGCTAGAGGTTTCTTCGACTGGCCTGAAGTCAGAGAAGGCCCTCTGCAGGAGGAAGCACCAGGGCTGTGAGGAGAGACCCAAAGACTCCCCTCTCTCCTCATCTCGCAGCTAGCCCCTGGCTACAGTGCCTGCTCAGCAGCCCCTCCTCCTGACACGATGGGAATTCCTCACTTTGTCCCACCCGTTTCTACAAGCTGGGTGAGGCACTGAGGTGAGGACAGAAATGAACAGAGAAGAGGAAAAGTGAGAGCAAGAAAGTAAACATGAGAAGAGGGGAGACACGGGACAGTAAAGAGAAGAGAGAAAAACGAGAAAGCGAGGCTGGATAGGAGCAGGGGGTAGATTATATTTGCCGCACAATGCCTCCAGTAACAGTATCATCATTATCTTGCCTGAACAGATGTGCAAGGAATCCATCGACTCATTATACAACATGAAAATGGAACACGTTTCTATCAGCCCCAACGGAAATCTTGGCAGATGCTGTCAGAAGGTGCAGGCTGCTTCTGAGATGTGATTTTTCAATAGTGTATTCTGTACTTTTTGATTGGGGTTGGGAAAAAGAGGAAAAGGGCATTGATTGTGCTTTTTGGGTTTTTTTTTTTTTTTGGTTTTTTTTTTACTTTGAAATTCTTCTCTCCAAGAGGGTTGTGGCTCAGACCACACTGAGCTCCTTTGAATAGCCATGTCAGCATGACCCATGGTCTGGGGCTGGCCAGTAGTTTTCGGGCCACACTAAAACCCTGTGCCAAGGGCTCATTCCTTTGAAATAACTCCCTCTGCCCCATCTCAAGGGTGCGCTTTTTGTGCATCCCACCTCCCCCTACTCCAGCATTATCCAGAGCTCCCATTCCCCACCATGCGACTTCTTCCCTGACCTCAGTGTCCCTGTCTTGCTCTAAGACGTCTGAAGTGTGTGGTTCAAGCAAAGAGCATTTTGTTCCCAGCTGAGCAAGGCTCAGGGAGGCCAGCAGTGCCAGAGACAGGAGTGGGCACCGTTAGTCACTGCACTGAAGCCATGCAGTGTGCAAGTTCCCCATGACAAGCACCACCTTTCCCTGGGAAGGCGGCCAAGGCCTGGAGCCCTGTGTAGGAAATCCCCTGTGAGAGGCCCTTCCTGAGCACCACAGAAAATGGTTCTTTTCATAGGCTCTGAGTCCCCTTCCTTTCCAGCCGTAAAGGCCCACATCACATCCTCTGTCCTGGCCTTCCATACTCTGTTCACATGCCAAGTGCCCCCACCCAGGCGCCTCATGGCTCCTGCACCCCTTCCCGGTCCCCTCCACACTCAGCTGGCTCCCCCCAGCTTTCTCTGCAGAGAAAGCCTCCTCCTTTCCCCACTCGGGCTGCTGACTCTCCCTCCATCCCGCGCTCGGTGCCTCTCACATGAAACTGCTCTGTGCTGTGTGTGACCTAACATCTCCAGAGGCTCCTCTGGGGTTGAACAGAAATGATTTGTTGACTTTGCCAGATTAGCAAGGGGGGCAAATTCCACAGATGCTTCTGTCCCTAAGTCTCAAAGTTCAGACTTCCAGCTCGATAGCAGGAGTGAGGGGATGGAGACAGCCTAAGTCTGTGGGGGAAGAATACCTACAATAACAGTCACTCTTTATGGAGCACTGGCTAGCTGGCAGGCAATTGTCTAAGCCTTCCTCATATATGGAATCCTGTCAAAAGCCCTCTGCAGTAGGTACTATTACTAGCCCCTTTTCACAGAGGAGGAAATGGAAGCCCAGAGATGGTAACGAACTTGCGCAAGGCCCCAAGCTTGCGCAAGGCCCCAAGCTAGTAACAAGCAGACCCAAGGTGGGCCTGGGGAATGACACTCCTGCCCCCACCCCATTGCCTCTCCCAGCATGCGGGAGATGCGGATTTCTCTGCCTCTCCTGAGGTGGGGTTATTTTAGGCCAGGCATGCTCATTTCTCGTTTCCGTTTCCTAATCAGAAAAATGATGGCAATGACATGATTTCTTGGGGCACTTCCATAAGGGAATGCTGTGATATTTTTTTTCCTAATTATGAAGGTACTCAGATCTTCAAATTTCCTAGACTCAGTGCCAGCCCCAGGTAAAGGTATGAAATAGGTGGCAAAATTGATCTTCAGTGACCCCTGAAGTCTTCATTTGTGCAACAATTCCCTCCATCCAGACTAGGCATGTGGGGTCCCAGGGCAGAGTTCCGGGGTGGGTGCAAAGAGGGTTTGTTTGTCACTCAGTGACTTGGAGGACACACTGACCCTACACATCAGGAAGGGTAAACCTGAGCCCCTTATTTTTTTTAAAGTGTCAATAATACTTTTTGAAAGTTGAGGTATAATTGACATAACATTATATTAGTTACATTGTAATTATATTTGCATATATTTCAAAATGACCACCACAATACATCCAGTTAACACCAATCACCATACACAGTTACAAAGTCTTT